AGTTTGGTTTGTTAGGAATTATAAATATAAAACTGGATTTGTATTTTCAAGTATATACCCGATGCACTTATCAAAGCTTTTGGTATCATTATTAAATAGAATGATTTTCGAATATAGTTTATAGACTATCCATTACACATATGCTAAAATAAATATCTACTTGTGTTTGTCCATAAAAGTAACATAGCATGTGTCGTATATCTATATGACTTCAAAGTTTTGTACAACAAATTGTATATATGGGCTTGAAGCCCCGATATCTCAAATATCAAGTATGTATACGAAAAGTTGTAGCATACAATTATGCAGCTTCTAAGTAACATACTTGGATTTATTTAGAGATTGATTGGATGACTTGTACAAGTATGCTAAAATAAATATCTACTTGTGTTTGTCCATAAAAGTAACATAGCATGTGACGTATATCTATATGACTTCAACGTTTTGTACAACAAATTGTATATATGGGCTTGAAGCCCCGATATCTCAAATATGAAGTATGTATACGAAAAGTTGTAGCATACAATTATGCAGCTTCTAAGTAACATACTTGGATTTATTTAGAGATTGATTGGATGACTTGTACAAGTATCACGCATTGACAAGATTGTATAAATGGATTTGGGTGGCGTTTGTTTTTTGTCTGTAGATCTTCTTGATTTTTTTTGTCTGTATCGTGCAGACCACACGCACACATTAGATTTCCAGACTACTTATTTTTAAGAATACCGTAGACCTTAAGATGTCTACACATATCCTCTTATTGGCGCAAATATAAACCAGAGTCTTCTAGCCTGGAAAACACAAGCGATAAATAACTATGTTTAATTTATTTAGTATGCTTCTTTAATCTGGTGGAAAAACATTACATTAACTACCAATAAACAAAGTAATATATGATTACACAAACTTAAAGCATAAATTTGTCTTTCAAATAAACCTAGCTTAAAGCGATTGTTTATTTTTTTTTAAATATATTTTTTTAATATTTTCACCTTAATAAATTGTAAATCATAATTTGATTTCCAAGAAGATGGTTTGGTAGTAATTTTTATGAAGATTGTAATTGTTTTGTTATTTTCGAAATATACCATTTTAGCGGTTTTAGATTTGTTAACCGATTATAATAAAATCATAAATGTTCTAAGTTCAAAAAATGATTTTATTATAGAAACACGACCGATCGTCAGAGACTCACACTCCAACATGTTTCTGCAATTCTCAATTCAAAATTGTACTACTTTTATCTTTGGTTTAAGGTCTTTGTAACTTTGTTTAATTATGTTCCGGTAATCAATTACAATGTTCATTGTTATTTGAAATCTTTTTACCGGTTCAACGAGGTTGGCGATTTTGTTAATGTATTTGTAAATGACAATTGTTTATTGTTTCCCAATTTCCAACCTCCAAGACCTTTATTATTTGATTTAAGGAGGTATTTTCTTTATGTATTTGACAATTTGAAAATTCATTTTTCATCTTTTTGGTCTTTGTTTAAAACTTTATTTAAGTTCACTTCCAAATTTCAAGCCTTTGATTCACAATTCAACTTTCAAGTTTTAGAATTGTGTTAATTAATTATTGGTTTGTTAATTGTCATTTGTTTCAGAAATTAGAATAAAAAATATCTTTATTCAAGTTTTTTTTAAATGAATGATAAGTAAAAATAGAAGATAATGATCAATATAAACATATAAAAATTGATTTAAGTTTACTACTTGTTGATATGACGATCAAGTATGAAATTTTATCATGTGAAATAAGAGATTGTAATTCAAAGAGCATACAAAAGTAATACTTTTTCATTTTTTGTTTTGTTTTTTTTTTTACATTTTCTATCATGTTAAATATGATATGACCTGGACCTACAACTAGTATTTTTTTTCGTTTTTGCGGTTTCACTTAAATAGTAAACCATGTGGTTTTAATTCTAGACTCGCCACTGAAAAAATATTGACCAAAGATAAAATATATATTTTATCATTTTGTTTATTTTAGCATAATGCAACCTTTAAAAAACAAACAACCTTCTTTTTCAGATTGCAAACATTTGATCCATCTATTTTACTGTAGATGTCTGTAGATATTGTCCACAAACTACATATCTTTTTTCTCTTAAAAAACAAACAAGACCTTTGTCAAATTTGTTAATTTCTTTCCTCTGTACATTTAGTCGTTTTCTCTCAAGAAATTTTTATGAGTTGAAGCATAGGTTATCATCTAACACTTTGTAATTTTTGTTTTTACCAATAATATCGGCTTTTATTTCTTGTTGTGGGTGTTACTACCACATCAATAATAGAACCATGTTATATGCTTATCTTTATTTGTTACTACTCCATCCATAATGAAACCATGTTATATGCTTATCTTCATTTGTTTTCGATTTGATGTGTTGTATCTATTAACATATTCGCTGCTCTGGTAGATATTTTCTTGTTGTTGTTTGTTATGATGTTATTTGGTTCATATTAATCGGTTGTTAGGTGGCATACTTATTTTTTTCCCGACATGTAATATATCAACTTACCAAAAGAAATTTTGACTTAACGGTACTGTTGAAACAGTATCTCTAGTCAAAGGTTAAAGATAGTCTTATCGGAAACAAAATGTATTGATTTAAGAGTATAATATGGGATGTGTTGAGTTAATCTTTCTAAAAAAGAATTCGTCAAATACGTTGAAACCGCTCAATAAGAATATAGTTAATTTGGATTGATATATATATATATATATATATATATATATATATATATATATATATATATATATATATATATATATATATATATATATATATGGGATTAGGGAATATGTGGATGTTATGTACCTAAGCTTATATATAGAACCTTCGAAACTATATAGTTTTGATGCATATATATCCAAAATAATCATGATATTTCGTAAACTAATATGTGGTTGTTATGTACCTAAGCTTATATATAGAACCCTCGAAACTATATAGTTTTCATGCATATATATCCCAAATAATCATGATATTTCGTTTACTATTATTCCTTAGTCATGTAACTTACTAAACCGATCGAATTTGTGTTCGTTTTCTTCATCTTGTCTAAGAACATAAAGCATTAAAAGTCATGGCCATTTAAGTAACCTTACTAAAATAAAAATGAAAAGTAATAGAATAAAGATAAAAGAACATACAATAATCAAATCAAGGTTTTCACAAATCATTCGATATAGTTTTCAATTAAAAATGGAGCATTAGATCAAAAATAATTTATTAAGGGCATGATCGTAATAGTACCAATCTTATTTAATGTTTAATTTTTTGTGTTATTGGAAATATTCATAGAAATGTATAGAAAACTACATAATAAATCAAATTTTCGGACATAATAAATCTTATTTATTGTTCAATTTTTTTAAAAAAAAGTGTAGATTTTTTAGTTTTTTTTTTAATAGAAAACATGAACTTTTGAAAAAAAAAATTGAAAAAAATATATATTTTTTTAAAAAACTGCATTTTTTTAAAAGCATTTAAAAATCAATAAAATTAAAAAAAAATTGTTGGATATCAAAAAATCATCGGGAATCAGGAGCAATAATTTATAAGCTGCAATCATGGAAGCATCCATGGATTCCGAGGTCAAAGATGATTCGTTGACTAACCGTTTGCAATCTGGAGATAAGAGATTTTGGGGTAATGATCGACATGTAAGGCATGAGAAAAGATGGTGGGTGAAAACGAGGGATGGATTGGGGAGAACAATCTAATGGTTATATGATCTAAAGAATTGAATACTTCTTTCTACCGAAATTACCCCTTTCATTATTTGTAAGAAACTCGTTATATCATTAAATTTAGTAATATTTACAAATTATGCCACTGATCATCTAAGTCATCTAAACAAATGATCCAATGTTCCACTTTTAGTTCTTAGGATCTAAACTTTGAGTTCTCAAATGATCATTTATCTCTCTCTCTCTCATATACATATATATATATATATATATATATATATATATATATATATATATATATATATATATATATATATATATATATATATATATATATATATATATATATATATATCAAAGTCTTCCATCAATATTATACTATCTTCCATCAATATCAAGACTTTGATATTCAGTTAGATTACTATAAAGTGGTTGGCTACATAATCGAATAATTAGCACTTTTGATCCTATATTTCTTCATTAAAACATTGATCTCATCAATAAAGTTGCAAACATGGTACCAGAGATACCTAAACTATATATTGAGAAAAGAAAATAGTTAACTGGAGTTGAATACCAAGTTTAGCATAAATAGTAAACTGAATTTGTATTTTGTTCTTTGTTTTAATATATAATATACATGATTTTTCTTTATTTTTTGTTTGTTAGCAACCGACGCGAAATCAATTCAGAATCGTGATTTTTGGTCCATTAGTATCTGTATTTTTGTTCTTATTAAACATTTAATCAATAATTGGACAGTTTTATTAATTAAGCAACCATCAAACTAGTAATATTTCCATCATAAAATAAGAAGGCATTTGTTCTTTCTTATGATGGGGACACGTGGGGTTCACTTTTTAGAATCAAATTAATTCTTTTTGCCAACTAAAGCTTAATGAATTCTTTGCATTATACCTTCTTGTGGGGTCCTCACCCATGTTTTAGTTGAGTTAGTGTTGTATAATTATTGAGTGGGTGCATATAACATACCCATGTGTAGAAAGAAAGAGTTGAAAACAACAACTCGAGATGTTGTGGGACCAGGTATGGATCCGAGTAAAGAGTAATAGTGTTTTTCACCTTAGAAACGAAAAGAATAAGAATGGGTTGAGAAACAATAAAAATATTTATGCAATAACGACTTAAGAAAATATCAATGAAGTCTATTTATATGTACTTTTAAGAAATAAAAAAAAATAAAAAACAAAAACATCGAAATAGCTTGTAGTTAAATCGTGATCACTTAGATCTAATTACTATTGGTTATCGTATATACAAAAGACGTAAATACCCAGAGATAAAAAAAGTTTGTCCAATCATGCTACATATAACAATTACGTACAAGGAAACAAACATGCCCAAAGATGTCTTATACACCAAACAAAGTCATTTCGACCATTATTAAGATAACATATATAAAAGTGTTTAGAAGTACACAACAAGAAGCCATTTTAAACACAAGCAACCTAACGAAAAAAGAAAGAAAAAAAAAAGTTGACATAAAATCAGCACAAAACTCACTCAACCATTACACGGTTTTTCTACACTAAACACACTGAGAAGTGAGACTTCCTACCTCTGTACAATTCTCTAGATTTTGACAAACAATACGAGACTTTGTTTGGCATATAACTTAACATACGTACGTGTTTCCTTGTTTCTATTTCTTGAAAGACTTTTATATCCTCGAGCCATTTTTGTAATGGCATAATATGATGTATTGTTATTTTGACATTAACTCACGCCTTTTGGAACGCACGAGATGAAGCTCCATGTAGAAGCCTTATGAACCCCAAGAAACTAAGCTTCCCATCCGCATGTCTTATCCAATCCTGAAGAACCACATGAACCGGTATCGATGGGCTAAGCCCAAGCTCCTGCATTTTTACATCAACAATATATCTATAATGTTATAATCTTCAATCTTTAATACATAATATATAATATATATTATATAATATATGATATATGATATATAATATATCCCACAAAAAGTGGATTGGGCGACTTGTGGGCCGTTCGCTTTTATGTCAGTCACCTAGCAGACCACTGTGTACCTGATCTGTTGATCTGCTCAGGGGTTGCTAAAAGAATAATTTTTTTTACAGAATATTGAATAGCAAAAAGTAGGGTAGGTAGGGTGGGGTAGGTGTAGGGGGTGTACCGAGGCAAGTTCTTCGATCATGATAGGGCGGTTACCATCTTTCTCAAAAAGGTCATAGGCACGGCGAGCAAGTTGCTCCCAATTTTCCATTGCTTCTAGCTGATGAATGCTAATGGCTGCTGCTCCAAATTCTTCAAAGTCAAATTTTTTATATTGAAGAGAACTCACCTGTTGTAAACCAAAAGTTAATATTTCTATTTACCTTTTTATCAGGATTCTTTCTACTAGATTATTTATCTCAACCACTAAAAGGGTATCCGAGGAAATTACCATATGGACAAAATCAAGCACGCGAGAGTCCTTTACAGCATCGGTGCAATTCTTCATCAAAGCCTTCACAATGTTATATAGTTTAGAACGACTCCACAAAATATAAACTTTCATTTGCCAAAAAAAAAAAAAAACTAACCGATTTGAAATTCTGCATGGATATGAACCCGTTTTTGTTTGGCCCTAGTGACATGAATTGGTCACGAACATAACCTAGCTCGGTAATTGTCAATGTCTTTGCAACAGCCTGCCACGTGGCATAATAAATATTTTTAAACATCATTTATCCAATTAAAAAAAAGGAAAAGGAAAAAGATATTACATACCCCTAAAGCAGCTCTTCTTAGAGGAGACGAACAAATATACGCTTTTACAGTCTTGAAGATGATCATGTCTAAAGGTATTCTCACATCATGATAATTCGCAAGCCATGGATGACCTAATCACAAGATTCGTTTTATTATAAATGTTGTAGTAAAAGCGTATTTGAGATATATATATATATATATATATATATATATATATATATATATATATATATATATATATATATATATATATATATATATATTTATTTATTTATTTAATGAAAAGCTTACTTAGGGCTTGTGAAGCTGTAAGTCTCTTGCGATAATCTTTGTTTAAAAGCCTTTTGACAAAGTCAACTGCGTCAGATGATAAAGAGGGCCATGGGGCTTCCTCAAAGTTGGGGTCCGCCTTAAGAACAGCCCGGAAGATTCCGGACTCTGTGCGGGCCCAGAAAGGTCGACTTCCACATAGAAGAATATATGCAATAACACCAATACTCCACATATCAGCTTCAGTCCCATATGATCTATGCAAAACTTCAGGTGCTACATAGTATGCACTTCCAACAATATCATTCAACCTCTCATCTGCACATAAATAATTATTTATTATATTATTATAATAATAATAATACTCATGTAATGATAATGATAATGATAATGATAAGATACCTGGCTTTACGTAGTCAGAGAGTCCAAAGTCAATGGCTTTAAGGAGGGAATGTTCGTCCTTTGATGTAAATAGAAAATTCTGAAGTGACACAAAAGAAATATATAATTAACAAATTATAAATTCAAACTACAAAAAAAGTGGAATTTACTTTCTCCATTTTATCGATTTAGCTCATGAACTATTAGCTTTAATCGATTTAGCTACTAAATTGTTGTTGAATTAATCGTAAAATATAATAGTTCGGTGGCTAAATTGATATAATGGTGAAAGTATGTTGTGTTATTCTGCATTTTACACTACAAAAAAACTCTATTTGTCTTGTCCCCCAAGAAATGCATATGACACATAGTCAAATTAAGGTCTTTTGACTAATAATCAAATACTTAAAATAGCCTTTGACAAGACAAAATTAAGTAAACCTTGGAACACAATCAACTTCACAAATAACTTGTAATGGTTGTTAAAGGTCAATTTGGTAAAGTTGGATTGGATGGACACTTTCCAAAAAAAGATTACAATCTAAACTAGAAAATTTTGCCTTTTTTTTAAAGGCAAAAGAATACTTTATTGAACACACAAAAGTCAAAATAAAAGATCATTTAGTATATATTGTAATATAACAGAAGCTAAATATTGAAATAAATGACTATAAAAGTTAACACATACAAAAGAATGAAAGATTATGAAAAGTTTTTTTTTTTTTTTTTACCTCAGGCTTGAGATCACGATGAACAACACCTTGAAGATGACAATAGGCTGTGACTCTTAAAATCTGGACCATAACAGCCTTTGCATCTTCTTCTGTATATTTTCCACCCCTAAAATTACAAATAATAATCAGCTTACAAATTCTCCAAAATTTTGCTTCTTTATAAGATTGAATTTTATGAATACCTTGCAAGTATCCTGTCTAATAGTTCACCTCCTTTACATAACCTAAAAAAACAGAAAATAGAAGTGATTGTTATTGATCAAATGTCTCAAATACCCTCTAACAATGACAAAAATCGGGAAACCATGAGCACCAAAAGCATCTTTGTGTGTTCAAATCTCTTTGCAAATATATAATAGAACAAGAAGATATTTATAAAACTATTGATGCAATGAAAGATGAAAGGTTTATATAAAATAGGGAGAATGGACACTTACTCCATAACTATATAGACATTGTCTTCATCCTCATAAGCATCATAAAATTGAACTAGATTGTCATGCCCTGTTAGAGCCTTTAATATTTTCACTTCTCTCCTTGCATCTTCAATAGCAATTACTGTGGTCATCTGAATAAACAACAATTATTCAATAAGAATAAAAATAAATAAATAAACACACACACACATACACACACAAAACTTCACTATTTGGAATCTAGTACCTTTAGATTGAATGCTTTAACCCTAATTTCTTGACATATTAAACACCAAAGATTGTTTTAGTAGCTTTTTCATAAAGTTAAAGGTGATTGTCCCACAATTAAAGTATTTAAATCAACTACAAAGTCAAAACATAATCATTTTGACCTCATAAGTCAACTAAACAATGTGCTTTTAGAAATAAAAATTAGTGAGGAGCTCAAAACTCAAAAGTGTTTAAAATTGACTTAAACACAAGAAATAGCATCCTACTTTCATCTTTTTCTATAAAAAAAATTGTATTAAGACATTTACTTTGTAAAATCTACCAAATTAGATCAATTAAAGCAATGAAAATTGTTTAGTATTTGAATGAAAACGATATTATAAACAAATGAAAAGAAAGTAGGTTGCTATTTCTTGCATACGACCCTTCAAAGTTTTTACCACATCCACGTAATTTTAGCAATTCAACTATTTTATCATGTTATATGTTAACATAAGAAACCTAGGCGATGAAGATGATGAAGGTTTTATAAAGTATAAAGAATGGTGGATGAAAATCAAACCTTGGATTTGGGGATAACTTTAACGGCAACATCATGGCCCTTCATACTCCCTTTCTTTCCTTTAGCAGTACAAGTATACCCAAAATGCCCTCTACCCACTTCTTCTCCAAGCTCATAATGGCTTAATAACTGCTTAGAATACCCGAAATTTTTATCCAATCCAACTTCGAATTCATTCCCTTCAGGAATCGAGGCCTCGTTAGGCTTAACAGACCCATGTCGCCTTGCAAGCAACGATCGAATATGCTTTGCAGGTGATGGAGGTGGGAAAGGGCGTTTGAATATGCGAAGAGGTGTCGAACTCACACTTGAATTCGAATTTGCAGGTGAATTCTTGAAGGCGTTACTGTTATGGAAGGGACTTGGACTGTAGTAAGGGAATGATGATTTCCCTGTTTGGGAATTCTGTGTTGTTGGTTCGATTTCATTCGGGAAATTGGAGTTTTCGAGTTGGGTTTCGAGGGTTTGATTGGGTTTTCCATGACAAAGTCCCATGGATTCACAAAACCAAAAAAAAGAACAAGGAAGAGGTTAAGAAAATAAGGATTTATGGTATTGAGTTTCAAGAAACTCAAGAACAAAAGCTTAATAATTGAACAAAATGCAATCTTTCCACAATTCAAGGAAATTGGAGGTCGAATTTCTTGAAATTTCTCGAAAACCGAATTCCTGCAAAAGAGAGGGGATGAAAAGCTCAAGACTTGAAAAGCAAATAAACTTTCTGATCATAGAAAAAATAATAAGGATAATAATGTCAGAAAGAGAAAAACTTACCAAAATTCAGAATTGAACAAGTGTTTCCACCTGAAGATTATAAAGAAATGGTGGAGGTATAGAACCCAGAGATTTTATTTTTTACAACAAGGTAAAGTGGCAAGTGTTTGAGAGATTGGGAGACTAAGAAAAGAACCCAAAAAAGTGAAGGAAAGAAAAGATGCTTAGCAGAGAGAAACAAGAAAAAGAAAGGCGCAATGGAAACCAACCATTCCTTCTTTCTTTGCCTTGCTTTTTCAAGCTTGGTTTTCTTCCTTTTTCATTTAAATTAACAAAAAGAGCAACCATTTGAACCCTCCTTTTATCAAATTTAATACTTGTTATCTTTTGTAATATAATATTGTTTAATCTACCATATAACTTAAATAAACATTTAAAATGAATAGTCTTTAACCGTTTTAACTTTTGTTTTTCTTAACCATTTGCATTGTAGTGAATTGATAATATATATGTTTGATGTTGTGGATAATTTGATTTATATTCAGATTCAGACATTAGTATTTTGTGATCATATAGATTCGTTTGTAATGACTTTAAGGCATAAGACATAATCTTATGTTTGCAGCTATGATTAATCAGTATGCGAAATCTAATACGAAAACTAAGAAGTCCTCGATAAAAAAAAATTATGTTTTTCTTTTGGTCTTTTTATAATATACATACAAATATATGGTTTAATGTCTAACTTTTATCAAGAATATGCTAAAATTTTAATAAAAATATAAAATTGAGAAATGGGTGTACTGTTGAGAGATGATTAGATGACCCTATTATTTATGGGGTGTATTTATTTCGAGTGTAATGGTGGTGAGTGGGGTTGGTTCTTTGGATGCTTCCAGGCTGTCCTTATTAGCGGGAGGGACAAACTCTTTTATAAACATTTTGCTAACCAACAATTTTAGTCTTTGAGCTTTGACCAATTGTTTTTGCTTTTCCCAAATTTAAATCTACTTTTAAGAATTTTTTATTATTATTCAATTTGTACTAATCATGTTTCGGTTTCCAAAATATCAACAAATACCATCAAAACTTATCGCAATTTCTATGAAACTCTGAAATAATTGTGTTGGTAATAAATAAGTGATAATCTATGTGAAAAATAATTTTTTAGGCTATTAGATGTGGATAATATATTATTATATGTTATCACTAATCATCTTATTAATATTTTAATGTTATAACACCTAATATGAAAATAGACAACATCAAATAATATGTGATAACACCCTTATTTTTTATATTTTTTATTTAATTTCTATTTTTCCCATTTGTTTTTTTATTTATGTCATGATATTTAAAATTATCATATAAATCAAATCATAAATTAGAAATAACATTTAAATACTAAAAATAAAATTTTAATAAATCTTAAGTTAAAAATAACATTAAAATTTACAACAAATGACAAAAACATTTAAAAACCTAAAAAAACAATAAAATATGAGAAAAATATATATATTTTTTCCCTAAATTATTCATCTTCGGTACCATCATAGATATGATATGTCAAGTCATTTCGAAGTTGTTTGTGTTTTCGTTAATATTGAATATCAACGATTCTATGTAAGTATTTTGTTGTCCCTGGTTGAAATTGAATGTGTCTAGGTTCCGTAAACGTATACTCTGCAATGTTTCGCACTTTATTTTCAATCATCATGTTATGCATTATGATACATGCATACATAATATTTGATAAAGTGTCCAAGTGATATGGTCGTATCACATGTTCAACTATGTGTCATTTTGTTTTCAGAATTCCGAAAGCACGTTCAACGTCCTTACGTGCCCCTTTTTGTCTTCTCTTGAAAAAATTTGTCTCTTGGTTCTATTGGGTGTTAAAGCGCCTTCACAAATGCAAAATATGGTGGATATATTCCATCCGTGAGGTAATATCCAGACTTATATTCATTTTCATTCACTGTAAAAAGAGCATTCGGTGCCTTTTCTGCCAAAAGGTCCTGAAATATTGGTGACTAATCAAGAACGTTTACATCGTTGTTAGAACCCGCAACTCCGAAAAAAGCATGTCAAATTCACAATTCTTGTGAAGCAACAACCTTTAATATCAATGAAGGCAATCCAAGATGATCACTTGTGTATTAACCTTTCCACGCCACTTTGTGCAATCAATGCTTCCAAGCATACCCAGAAAATCATGTCGTTCTTCATGTGCCGCATATAGTTGTTACATGTCATTCAATGAAGAGTTGCGCAAGTATTTGTCACAGAAGGTTTCGACAGCACCTCTCGCCAATCTATAAAAACCTTCTCGTGCAGTTTGCTCTGATATTCTCATACAGTCATCAATAGAATCGGGCGACTCCCCCATAGCCATAAGCTTGATTGCAGCAGCACATTTTTGCAACCCTATAAAACCTCGTTTACTTCTCGCATCATACCTCATTTGGAAAAAATCATATGTTATCTAAAAATAATTATCTAAAAAGTGTATTTATGATACATGTTTTCCAGTGCATTGGTTATCCGTTGAAACACATTTTTTCGCAAATGAAACCTTTTTTTGAAATCGATAGGTTGGTAGACATAATTATCCACAAAATAATCGTGTACTAGACATCTATGCCCTTCTGCATGACCTATGTTTGATGCCACACACCTTGTCAATAGTGAATCTGGCTCTAACTGTAACATGTCAATAGAATATTGGTACGGCATACTCACGAAGATATCATCATTGTTGTTATCATCATTGTATGGATTGAACGGATCAAAATAATCCATTTTTTATAAACAAAAAAATTGAAAAGAAAAGGAAATTGAAAGAAATGTGTAATTGAGAGAAATTGATGGATTTTGTAGCAGATAAAATATGTGTATTTATAGCATATATAAATGGGAAAAAATTATTGGGTTTGTGACCATTTAACAACAGTCTAAAAAATAAACGTTGTGAAAAAAATGCAAGCCAATTTCTCCCGTTCCCTCCCATTATCACGAACACGGCTAATGTCATAACACCAAAAAAGTCACCAAGGGGTTGTGTTTTCGGCGTTATGGCGCTGTTATTTGATTGCCACCTCGGAATAACGCCAAGGTTCGTTGCCCATAACAAGTGGTCTTATTGTTGTAATGGGCTTAACAATACTATGATTTAAACTGAAAAATATATAATGGTATTTTTTATAGGAGAGTAAGTTATAGTTTTGGTAAAATTAACCCCAAAGATGGTTTCCCAATGCATTAGTTGGTGTTTTTTTGGCTATTATCAATATCATCACCGGGCTCCGATAATTATAAGTAAATGGTCCTTCTAATTAATTTTAGAAGGAATAGTTTTTCATAAATAGTCTTTTTAATTAGGATCAATATAATTTCTACTGATATCTTTGGATAACAACTTCCTTTTAAAACAGACTGTCACGTGAGCAATAAAAATCTTATTCTCAGTGGTATTCAAATTTGACAGGATATATAACTTTACTCATATATGGTTTTTACCTTTATGATGAGCGTAAGCCTTGCAAATCCCAAACTTTCAAAATGTATAAGTGACATAATATACCTACTCTATATTTCAAAATATGTTACCGAAACCTTCTTTGTTAGTACAAAGTTTAGGACTTTTGTAACAGCCTTTATGTATAACAATGTAAAGTGTTTAGATGCATAGTATGACTCATCATATATCAACTCATATCTAGTAATTGTTATGATATGGTGTTCCTGGTGGGATTAATTGTTGAAACAATTTCACAGTTTTATGAAATGATCATTATATTCCAGACTAAGATACTAATTATTCTTGTCAAATATGAGAATTGTAATGAGTATCTTATCATTTTGCCTAATTTATTTTTTTTTACTTCATTTTAGAATTATTGGGTTTTCTGTGCATCTAAAAACACGATCATACGCAACGAAAACATAACAATAATCCTATGTGTTCAGGGACCATAAGAAACTAAGTTTCATGATATTACTACAAATCTACTAAAACATAAGAACATAAAGAAAGAAGAATAACATACTTTTTATGTAGCCATTGATCTCCATGCATGAGATATTGTCTTCCTCAAGATTACTTGGGTGAAAGGACCCAAACCATAATCCCTCTAATGGTATCACACCCAACAAACACCAAATAGAGAATAAAAATAACTAGGTGAACAGATCAAAATTCTATAAATGCTAATGAGGGTTAAGAATTTTGTTCCTTAGGAGAGGATGAAGAACGAGGCGAAAAATCAATCCAAATGAGCAGAAAGAATAAGTTCCTAAGCATCATATGTATATGCCTTGGATCCCTACCATAATTACATCTCCATCCTATGTGGGATATATGCAAATTTCGTTCACCTATCCCTTTAAGGTTTCCGGGATATTCCAATTAACCAACTATTAATTAATTAAATTCAACCTCTTGAATTAAATTAATTCTAAAATAGTTTCTGATTAACTATTAAACCATGATAGATAATAAAGTAACTTCTCCTTTATTTATTCTACTCAATTGGGTCATGAGGGCAGCCCAAAAGGACTTTGTTATTATTATAAATATTACCAACAGTTAATGACATTGAACACTTTTTCCATCAATGGTTTGTCTTAAGCACCTTAATGGTTTCAAACTTGTGTTTAATTAGATAAGCATAATCATACTTGTTGAAGGTAATGAACTTTGTTTGACCATGTATTGTGGTCGGTCCGAACAATGCATTAGTACGTATTAATTCCATTATATCATTTATGTACCATCCTCG